GTTGCATAAGGTGGCACGGTCCGCAATCTCGGAGCCCACTCTCATGATTCGAAAGTGCTTGATAAAAGCGCCACGGCTCACTGACTGCAACTAGTCCCGCCTGCGTGAACTAGATCCACTAATACTGCTTCGTTTTACCATCGTATAGCGATGGGGCTTGGTCACTTGTACATACTCTCGCCCTACCACTGACTGCTTCTCTTTTGTACAGTCGCTCTCTGCCGTATGCCCATATAATGTCAAGGGCCTATGGGGTCCTCAGATATGTTTGCTCTTTCTTCTTCACTGGAAAACCACTTATCTTCTGCTTCTTCCTCTTCTTCTTCCTCAGCGTTTGTCCCGCTCTGTAGCAGGGTCCGCTCGTCTTATTTTGTCACGCCACTTCTCCCGATTGAATGCTTGATCGGGATGGGTGCCAACTACCTTTATCCTGCAGACAATGTCACAACTCGCGAAGAACATGACCATGCAGTGATAGGTGCGAGCTTGCCGCTCGCGAACCCCGAAGTATTGCCTTCAGTACAGCCCATCAGCGTATCATATTTATTAGCTCAATAAGGCAATCAGAACCAATGATGACGGAGTTGAGTTGACAGCGCGGCAAGGAATCAGCGAGCCCAGAGGTGACGTCGGAGCAGGCAGCGGTCGTCCTGGTTGGCATCTCGGCAGATCTCTCGTTGGCGTTCAGCGCGAACCTTAAGTATTGTCGGTGAGATGAGTCATGCGCATCGCACTCTGACCTTCTCCTCTCTCTCTCGCTAGCTTCACGCAAACCGTCGGCAACCAGAAGGAGACCCGAAGTGAGAAGGATGCCGTATAAAGGTAGGAGGGCTCTCCCAGTGGTGAGCGACACACTCTCTTACAATGCCAACGCCGAAGGCGAGCTTCGCGCATTTTCTCGGCCAGAGCTACACCGAATCTCTTCCTTATGTCGTCATTGCGTATGCGATCCATACGCGTGACACCGGCGGTCCATCGCAACATTTTCATCTCCGTGACTCCGAGGACTGAAAACCCACTTATCACATGATCTAATGATTTCAGCTCCATAACCGGCAACCGGGCGCTGTCTTCGAATGAACGGTCGGCGAGTCGGCTTGTGAAAATGCAAGATTGCATGGAAAGGGTAATGTGCTCTGCAATGGACAACCGTGTTCCAGTTTCGCACGAGAAAGTTGTAAGGTAAAGGATTTGAGGCACAGAGTGGCTCAAGTGACACCTCCCTTTTCCTACTGCCTCCGCCCTCAAAACCCGCCTCCAAGGTCCGCCTTCCAGCCAGAAGCGCTGTTTACAGACAGTTAGCATAAAATGGATACTCCATTGTTTCTCATGGAGTCATAGGGTTCATTCTAAGCGGCCTACGTACTCATTCCAACGCGCGGTCTTTTGGCCTGTTACCCGTGCAATTATTTGGGGCAGGAGGGGTCAATTAAAGACGTTGCCGACATCCCTTTGATATTTTCTCCATATAGGCGAGTCACAGAAAACTTCTCTTCCATATACATATCAATACAGCACCAGATGTTCCTTATGGGGGCTGCACCTTCAATAAAGAAAGACGGCAATTGTTTCGCTAGTTTGTGCGACGCTGTCTACTTCCCCATTATCCATAGAGAAAGGCTGGTGCACATAGGTGTGAAGGTTCAGTTTGTGCCCCACGGCTTCTCGCAGATGAACAAATTTGAGCGATTAAAGCTTTAAAGCTTGCAACATATCGCACGACTGTTGTTAGGCATAGCCGGATCTTTTTTGAAGATTGATGTGGTCTCGTCTCCCAAGCAGGTCCACTCTAATTGCACGCCCCAGTACAAGCGTTGGATTGAAGAAGCTAAGAAGATTTGCTGTGCTAGTGGTAGGGTCTTCGCAGCATAGTGTAGGAATTCCTACACGCACGCCAGTAACGCAGAGCTCTACAAAATACTACTACACAGTATTAAAGGCAACTGGTTCGAAAATCGGCATACTCCCTAGCAGGCACTGCGGAGCACCCTTTCCAAGCAAAGGCACCGTTACCACGCCCAATCTAGCTGTAACATGCCGACCTAAACGCCCACCGCAGCCCCCGCCCCGCCCACGAATGGCAGCAGAGCCACATCGACGCTGACATTCTTATGGCTTCGTTTATGGAGTACAATTACAATTGGTATAAAGCATTGCTGTATGGATATACGTACACATACGCCGCAGTTCGGCGACAAGGGGGGGGGGGGGCATTTTGCACTTTCGTTGCTTCACTAGTTCCGGTTTACAAGTCTCACTCTGGTGAAACCTGTGAACTCTTGCGAAGCTGGAGCAAGCTCGTCAATATCATGGTGAACCTGTCAACTTGAGAAGAGCCTCTCTAGGTGGTCGACACGTCGATGGGAAGTAACAAACGTGCACGAAGTCCCCCGCCCGTCGCCGAACTGTGCCGGGCAGCTGTATCTATCAAGCGGTTGCTGACATGATGCCAACGGAAACTCGTCCAAAAATGCTCGTCCAATGCCGTGCAGAACAAAGGTGTTCTCGCAGGTACTTTGGCCGTTTAAACTTGCTTCTTCTTCATTTTAATGGCATGCGAGCGAATGATTTGTGAAGATTTTGCTTCGCAACACTGTCTAAGGAACGACTGCTCGTTGAGGAATTGATGAAAACATTCGATTACCTATTATCATTACAGGACTTGTACTTTTCTTCGATTCCTGGCTTCTCTTTCCGATAGGGCCACCTTCGTGCTTCGGAGCCGTTCCATTTCCAGTAGTGTCCTGTGCTCGATGTGGAGTTGTTGTCCTTTTCGTTGTTGTCTGATGCAAACTTCGGAATTCGACTTTGCCAGTAGTTAATCGAATAAGACGCTCCTTAACAGGTGCTGGAACGTCGCTATCTGTCTGAGTGATCACTAACACATCACCATGAATTTTTTTGAGGCCTCTTAATCCTTTCAGAACGAAATTTTCATTGTAAGCCACTGTAAGGCTGGGCTCTGAAAACAAATCGTTTTGTATAGTCAAGCATGAATTGGAGGTGTTACTGTAGTAGGGAGGAGGGAGGGGTGTGGTAGCCGTTCTCGCTGAAGAGGGCCGTACTGATGCAAATGTTTTCCACATCCCCATCGTGTACCTTGACCCCAACCCCATCTTCCCGTCTTCTGGATCTCCTGAGATTTTTCGCTACATGAAAGCTATTCTATTTCCGAGAGCATAAAGAGCACACATCTTCGGCTATCAGTCGTTCCGAGACATAGCACTTCTTCGCTTTGGCTCAGCCTTAGCCTGGGCTTTCACATTTCTTCTCATCGCAGCAGTAAATGCTCGCTCACACTACGTTCCTAGCTCGTGACGGTGAAAAGTAGGCGATCTGGGGTTGGAATTCGAAGGCAAGTGGCACGGTAAAGACACATTGTACGATCACACATAGTTTGGGTGTGCGTGACTGTCAGCCCCCAGCTGTCGAAGCGTAGCGGTTTCCCCGTCCTAACATGCGCAGGAATGGAGATACAGGACGCTAATTCCTCCATGCTCCGCCCAATGCCTTTTGCGGCGCAGACTCCCGTTTATGCTAACAGCCGTCCGCGCGGCGCGTGTCGCGCGCAGCTCTCTTGGCTTTTTGCCAAGTCCTGTAATTGCGCTTTGGAATACAAGTAAACGCAATTTCCTGATGC